GTACTAAGGGGCGAACAGTTTTTGGGAGCTATTTCTTTAATCCAACAAAAATAAATACTATTGAACTAGAAAAATATACATGTCAACTAGGGGAGCTCCACACTCTAACCCTTACCATTAGATGATTATTCAATAGTTTTAAAAATTTATTGTAATTTTACAACAAGAAGCGTTAAGAAATAATATAAGCTTCTTTTAAGTACAAAAAAAAATATTTGTCAAATTGTCTTCCAATACTTCACACTAAAAAAATTTATCATTAATAAATATTATCTTCGACGCATTGTTTAAGAATCTATGGCTATTGTAAAGTTAATTAGAACTATTATAATAAAAAGTTAATTTTTGCACCACCTATAATGTACACTTAACAAACATCGATTGAATACGCCTAACATTTTAATAGCTTTTTTGAGATACGGTGTTATTGCTCATTAACTTTCCTTTCAGTGCTAATTAAATTTCGCATGTAATAAATCATTATCCATCAATTGAACTCCTGGAAAACGTTGATTTTCTTTTTAAATTGAGCTCTCTCTTATCTTTGTAAGAATCTAATCCAAGGTTTTTCTTTTCTTGAAGAACTTTTATTAATTACCTAATTAGATTTTCGTCTAGTAACGTCAGGCAACCGTATAGTAACTACAATTTAACGTACCAGAATTTTTAAAATTTATCGTGAAAACAAACTGTGTAGGGCCTGGTTAAATGGTTAGTGGATATGAAACCAAAAATATTACTAAAAAAAAATTATGTATGAATGCTACTACTGCTTTGACTCTAATCTAACTGACAAAGATTTTTTTGTATTTTTTGAACCCAATAAAATATATTAAGAAAGTAGATAGTTTAAAGAAATTGAATAACACAATTTCATAAGTTAAATATTTTTCACAGTTACGATGATGAGAATGTTATTCTAATTATGTACAACAGCGCGAAGAAAAAAAATATTTGAAAGATGTATAATAATATGTTTATGTCCACTGTTTTGATGCTTTGTCAAGTAATCTTGCATAAAAGAGTATTTACTACAATCATAAATATAGTTTTAACTTTCCTTACAAGATACAAGATAATGATTCTGTGTTTTAAACAATTTGAACAAATAACGAAATTATGAATCTCAATATTATTGTGTTTTTTATAACAAACGTAATGTTTTGTAAATATTTATTATTATTAAAAATTAATTACATTCAAAAAATTCATCATAATCATAGATTCTTATGTGAATTTTTATTCAATGTTTACCTTTATATGTTTTAAAACAAAACTTGTATTTTTACGGAAAAACAGATCTGGAAAAAAATTTCGTGAAATAATTGACGTTTCTGTTTTAATGAATAATATTATAAAGTATACAGATCGTTGTCTTAAAATATAAAATTATACTGTACGTCTTATAAATAATCAATATACTTATTAAACTATACGTTAATTTGCTGTATCTCTATCGTAAATATTCTTAATATTTTTGATTTTGTTGCACTGAGTTTCTAGTAAGATAAACAGACAGTTAGAAAAAAATTGCCATGTAAATTAGAGATAAAGATAACGTTTTGATTAGTTACATTTTATAAATAAGGATTTGCATTATCAAGTACCAGAGTTTTTAAATGTTTATTGAATTACTCTGCTACTTAAGAAACAAATAACTAAACTCGTAAGGATGAACTAAAAATTTTAAGATAAGTTTTTATTGAATCAAAATTTCTTTACAGCGTACGTTGTCTACATGAAGACTGGCTCACTCGCATTTTTGTTAAAAAAATATTCACTGAACATTAAATAAGAAAAATGTATTTGTAGAATGTTTTCTCGACATAGTATTTTCTGTTAATTATGAAGCTACTTCCTTAAAAGCTCCAATTAATTATTTCTACAAACTGCCATTCACGTACGTTTCAATATTTCTTACAAGAATATCATAAGACATTGAATACTTAAGTCCAAAAATTTATTAAATACATTAAAGTTATAAAATATGAAAGTTTCTGAGATACAAAACTTATAAGAACGCACGAAAAACTAATTATTATTGTACCTAGTAGCGCATGTTTGTAGGGCAAGCACTAGGCCCGAGGGACCTGCGGAGCAGGTCTGGTGCTTTTTTGGTTAGATACATACCGGGTACAAACTTTACTTTCCAATTTAGGAGCATAGTAAACGTTCAAATGTTACAAAAATGCATAAACTTGGAAAATTATTAGTTCTTTATTTGAATTAAAAACCAGCTTTTAACGTTTTAAGCTAGCTTTGAAGTTTTATTGATCATAAAAATTATGTAAGATACAGTCAAAAAATTTTTATCATAAGATCAACTGAGTTCTTACTTAGACGTTGATGAAACACGTTAAATCGAAATGTTATAAATAAGTGGGATTATCACCAATAGTTTTGTTTTGTTTCACAATTTATTTTTTACTCTAATTAAGGCGAACAGCTGAGACAGCAGTTACACCGTTGTCAGAGGTTCAAGATACACTGAATATATAAGTAGTTTACTCAACAATGTATACATATAAAATTGATAAAGCAAATATTGATAGGTGATTTTAGTAAACGGCAAGATAACGAACATTAATAAAAGAAGCGTTGAACTAAATAAAGTTATTAACAGCATTATCTATCATCGAGAAAATAGAAAAATTAAGTTGATTGTTATTTATGAACTTGTTTTGTCTTTGTGCTTTTACAATCTTTATTGTTTCAAATAAAATTAACTTTAGGCTTTGAGGTGCATTATGAAACAATTTTATATTGATATTATATTGATAATTTATACTGATAATTTTATATTGATAATGACAATGTTCACTGAAACTATCCAATTCCTGAATATTGTTAATAGACTTAACATGCTCATCAACATGTGTAGACAGGGTGCGCCCTGTCTATCGTATGTATATAGCATCGCAGTCTAAACGTTCATTTCTACATACCACACTTTTCTTTAAGATGACAGATTTTTTTTTATTATTAACTGGAATGGTGTTAAGATAGTTTTTATTGACTAATATTTGATTTATTTTGTATCTCTTCAATAATTTAATAATTTTCTTTGAAACTGCGGAAACATAATTAAACTTGTGAAATTTTTTGTTTTTTGTCAATGTAAAATAAAAGTGTTCAAATGCGCATTTTTTACGTGTTTTCTAAATCAGACTATCTATAATAGCTTCGTCGTATCCATAAAATTTGTTGCAAGGCATTTTTATAATTTCATTTTTTTGTAGTAGTGATCTTTTTTAAAGGTATCGACAGTAATCTATACATAAAAGTATGAAAAGCACTTATTTTAGGTTTTATGTACTATTTTAAATCATGTTCCACGAAAGGGTCCGTAAATGTTGGTTTTCTATAAACTTCATGTACTAATTCATCATTATTTATTATTTTTAAGTCTAGAAAGTTCGAAGTATCATTATTTTCTATATAAATCGTAAAGTAAGTACTAGGTACAAGGGTAAAAATGAGATAGTGTTCTACATGGGGAACGATACATGGATGATGTCCTGTGCGTTTGGAGAGGGATAGAGAGAACGTTAAAAAGATTTCTTACTTAGATAAATACCTTTCTACTGCGTACTAAGTTTACGATTGAAATAGGAAATAATGATAGCTTAAACTTTGTAGACTTAATAATAATACGAAATAATGATGAATAAGTTTGTGAAATTTATAGAAAACCATCATTTACTGACACTTTAGTGCCACGTGATTTAAAGTAGTACATCAAACCTTAAATAAGTGCTTTTAATTCTTTTATAAATAGATTATTGTCAATACCCTTAAAAGAAGATCACAGCGAAAGAAATCACTTATTAATATTTTCTTTATCGATTTTATAAGTATATATCGTCAAGTATACCGATTATATATTCAGCGTATCTCGAACCTTTCACAACAGCGTAACTGCCGAAATAGCTGTCAACCTTACTTAGAAGTAAAAATAAATTTTAAAACAAAGCAAAAGTTTTCAATGATTATTAATAAATACAGTTATTAACAGCATTTTGTTTTTAATTTTCATTATTGCTTTTTATGTGTTTGCAATGGTAAAACTTAAAGACTGACTGAATTTTCAGCAAAAAATAATATAACTGAAGTGTTTTTTTAGCTTTCGCCATCAACATTTTAATAATCAAAACAATTTTAAAAATATTACGTCACATATAGTGTATACATAAATTCTGCCTAGTAGTTTCCATGTCTCGAGAGGGATAAAATTTTTAGAATTTTTGGCTACGGAGGAAAGTTTATTATAATGTTAATATAATCTGCTGTTGATTGCATTTTAATATACAGATTTTGTTGAAAAAATTAGAACAAAATTTAAAGCATCTTTCACTGTTCTTACTTTTTACACCTTTTCTAGTCTAACAAGAAATTACGTAAAATTAATGAAGTTCAGAGTATAATATTTTACTGATGAAAAAAAATTATTTTAAAGAATAACCACCATTTGATAAAGAATAAAACGTAAGTCAAAGTTTACATATTATTATTGGAGAACTTACTTTGGGCTGGAGAAAACAGTTGAAGTAATCAACCCAGTTGGAGTTCTGGGCCGAGACAAGGCACCAGTAACAGCAGAAATACTAAGTCTTTTTCCTGATACACTATTACGTCTACTGGAAGACGGGGTACTACCACTTGTTGAAGTTCGAAGTGGAATACGGCTTGGTGTACCTACTTCATCTTAAAAAATATAGTACTTACTAATGATTTTTAGATCAAAGATATATTAATAGAGACATTTTTTAGTAGTACCTGTGCTATCCAATGAATGAGTTGAGCCATATCTACTTGAGGGTTTACTTCCTTGACGAGAAGTTGGTCGACTACTTGATCTACTCGCCGGTCGACTAGCTGGCCTACTAGATGGTCGACTTCCACCTTAAAATTTTATAGGTAAAACTTAAAAAATTTTCGATGATTTATATTATAAAAGCTTCAGTACACTCCTGAATTAAGCTGACCTGGTGTATTTCTATAAGATGTATTGCTCACTTTTTTTGTGACAGTACGAAATAAGCCTTCATTGTCGCTAAGACTATCTGGTGTACCAACACGAAGTGAAGTTCGCAAAGGTCTGGTTTGATTTATTTGCATAGGTGCACTTCGAATACTGCGCTCCCTTACCTGCGAACATTAAATAAATTGCATAGATATACTTTCATATGCTAAAATAGCATGTTTCGTTCCAAAGGTGTATTTCATGTAATGTTTATGATAGTTTTACTTTAGAGAAGACATTATCAATAGGTTGGTTCTGTTAAGTATTGTAAAACAATCCCTTTTTGTAGTCATATGTAGTAGACCTCAAATGAAATAAGAGAATCTCATCCTTGAATGACAGATTAAATTAAGGTGTAAATGACATAATAATGAACCAGTATACTTTTAAAAAGTAAAAAATATAAAAGTTGAATTTGATTCTTAAGAAATTATCTGTGTTTAAGGTCATCCTAGAAATATTTTGGGTGATATTATGAAAAGTTTTTTAAACTATTTTTTATAAGAATACAAAAATGAAAATTGTAAAATCTGTTACTTATGTAAGTTGTCTAAGTCAGCATTTTTCGGAAGCAACTCGCTGTTTTTAAAGACGCTGGGTATGTGTTCAAGGAGAGGGGTGATGCGGTTATTGCTGGTGACATGAACTTCTATGTTCCCACTTGAGATGAAACGCAAACCGATACTAGAGAACAAAGGGTGTTGGAAATGGCTTTAAGCCTCGAACTCACCATATTAAACTCTGGTACCAAGACGTCACTTAGGCAAATAGAAACCCGGAATTCAACAGTCGACGTAAGGCTCGCAACGCTACAAAGATATCTGCCTGCAGTGTTTTAGAAGACTACACGACGAGTAATCACCACTTCATATTATTTGAACTTGGTGAGTTGCGTGGTGTTGTATCACGAAAAGCGCTCAGGGTGCAAGCCATTGGATGCAATGTTGCACGACTTAATCAAGGTGCGCTCAGCAAAGCCCTGGCTAATACGCCACCTATAGCTGACTTCACCGCTATCCTTAGACTAGCAGAGGCAGAGTAGCTCGTAAGAACTACAATGCAATGCATCAACAAATAGTGTCATATAAGTATACCTCAAAAATCATCCAGATAAAGTTGGAAACTGAACTAGTGGACCGAAAGAATCGTTCACAAGCAGAGGGAATATCACAGACTCCGTCACAGATCTCAGTACTTCTAGCAAAGGAAAAATATGGAGAAGGAAATGGCACTTCACAAAGATGCAAAAAAAACTTGTCAAGGCAATCAAAAAAAGCCAAACCCTTTGTTGGCGTAAGCTTGTTGCCAAAGTCAACAAAGACACTAGGCCGCAATATAGTTAAACAAAAACTGAGTGGCTTGGGACCGTAGAAGCTCATAGAGCTGTCGTTTACACAGAACGTCGAGGCTCTTTTCCTGGTACATCAAGAGAAGGAAAAGACTGAAATGGCCATTGTGAGTAACATTCCTTTGTTCACTTGAACGGTAGTGTTGGCGGTTCTGTTGGTACTGCAGGAACAGAGGACTTCAGAACTGGATGGAATACCTAATAAAGTTCTTAGGACCGTGACGGCAGAGAAACAACAATTCTTCTAAATGTATTTAACGCTTGTTCAAAGGTGGGCATGTTCAGTAGAGTATAGAAGATTGAACCCCTCATCTTCCTGGATAAGGGTAAGGGTACTCCTATAAACTCGACGTTATTACGGTCCTTGTGTATGATGGATAACTTAGACAATGTACTGGAAAAAATGATATAAACGCGTTTGCGCGGGGTAAATCTAGACGACAACCAGCACGGTTTTAAGGTTGGCAGATTATTATGCCACGCGCTGACCAAGGTTCTAGACTATGTAAAACGAGCATGGTAAACTCCTCACAAAACAAGGAATGCTTTAGTCCTGATCATTCCAAACATTAAGAATGACTTTATCTCGGAAAGGTGGGTCGATATAAAAAAGGGTGGTGTGCTAACAGAAGATAACCATGTAGTCAAAAGGAATCCAGGACCATGTGCTTTGGTACAAAATAACAGAGGGACCAAGTGAGGTAAAATTGACATCGAGGGTGAATCAGGGCTCTGTGCTGGGTCCAGACCTCTGGAACTTCGTATACGATGGGCTCCAATACTTGAAAATGCTTGAGAGAGGAAAGCTGGTAGGCTTCGCAAACAATATTACCCTAGTTGTTCTAGTAAGATGTCGGGCCCAAGTTGAGCTCAGAATTCATACCGGTTTTGTGTCCATAGCTGCAGCATGGCGACAGTGAGGTAAACTATTACATTACCTAGCTAATCTCAGGCCATTGACAGTTAAACGCATATCTTCACCGCATGGCGTCGAAACCAACACCTCATTGTGATTACTGCCCTCAAGTAAACGATACAGCAGAACACAGTGTCTTTCACTGTGGGAGGTAGCGTAAGCAGCAGCAGTATTAGCTAGATGACCGTTACGCCAGAAAACATCATCGGTATCATGCTAAGTAGCGCTGATGCTTAGAGGGCTGTTGACGGGTTTGCCTGGACGGTTCTGAGAAAGAAAAAAAGGAAGGGAATTAAGGTTACTCCCGAACGAAATTGTGACATTCCACACTGCTTTACATATAACTACTTATCAGCAATCACAAGTACTAGATATGAAGTGCCAATTCTTACAGATCCCAAGTCCTTTTGAGGACTCAAAAAAATTGGCACCTCTAGCAACTGGTGGCGAACATGCTCGCTATCGCTGCCAGATATGATGATCTCTTTGGTGGCTCTACCCTCAAGTAATGCTCACATGGTTTCAGGGTGAATTAAAGTCACGTGACATAGGCGACGGTTCAAAAGGTATTATAAGTCTAATAGTCTAATAAAAGAAGTCCACTGAGTCCCACAGTACCGCTGTCCCTGCGTAGTGCATCGGATAATACCCGGTAACCACATATGGTATGGTTGCACGCCTTGTAAACAAAAAAGATATGGTGGGCTGACTAATTCAGGCTTAGTACCACTGAAAAAAGCTACATGGCACCACTCTTAGTGCATTGTTTACGCCAGCTCATTTCAGTGGGTTCTCTACTCTGGTCGTCGGATTGTATTCTTATTGCTCATCACGCTGAGGCACTTGTAGTTTTCCCACATAAATATTAACTACACACAATCACTACTTTAACACTTTTTACACAACGCCAAGGCAGTATCCGTAGGTGCGACTGAGAGAGAGTGGCGGCTGCCAGCGGGCTCAAGCAAGTGGCACCCTTCTTTAAAAACAGAGAGAGTTGCTGCCTTGGTTTTAACCCTTTCCAAATATTTAGTTTAGAAAGAAAGGGAATAGTGCTGGCCTTAACCAGAGAACATCAGGGGGGGGGGCGGGGGGACAAAGATGCTATTCCTGGGCAGCAACGACTGTTGAATGTTTCATGGCCATTTTTAGGTAAGGGACGACGATCAAGTATCTCTAGTATTCGCAACAACGTCAGCGAGGACAGCAACGTCACAGTCTTTAATAACCAGACGCAAGGGGAGCTCACGTCCATAGAGACCAAGGGTGCAGAGCTGAAAGCGAAGCGAAATAAAGAGATTTAACAAGTCCAATATGCAACAAGTAAGCTCGAAAAAACGCTTGAAGCTACAAACCAGAAGTATGGAAATACTACCAACGCCGTCAAAAATGGTGTTAACGCTGCGCTTAAACACCTGAAAACAGCCAAGGTGACTAGAACAGTTCTTCTTCCTACAGAAGAATACAAAATGGATGAAGAAATTTTTTAAATCCTTGAAAATCCAAGAACAAAGATGAGATCATTTTTATCGTCATGAGCAGAAAATATTCTGAACCCTGCCCTCAAAGAAACCACACGGACAAAGTAAAACAGGAATCCCTCAGGAAGTCCTGACAAATGGCAGAGAGCTGTGACTTAAATAAAAGGGAAGTAGCGATGGAGAATGAAAAGAGGTCTCTCCTAGTCATAGACTTGCCACAAAAGCCATGATACGATGACAAAAGTCCCAGTCAAGGTTAGAGAAGGACTACTTTTGCTGGGAGCGTATGTATGTACTGAACAGATATATCGCATTGTTTTTGTACATCTTCATTAACTTGGCGCGGAATTAGACCCCCGAGATAAAGTCAAGGAGTTGCCGGGGTACTTAGGTCAATGAAGGCGGGCTTCAACCCTGAAAAGACAGGAGCAGTAGTTCCGAGTGTTGTTGCCACCAAAAAAGGAAACTTGCTTCTTAAAGTCAAAGGAGTTAAGGATGTCAAACTACTTATTTAACATGTAGAAGAGGCAGTAGTTGGCCAAAAAACGGTGGTTACTACTGCACGAAAAGTGACGCTCGAGATTCGAGATTTCGGCAGTATTGTCGAAGAAAGAGAAATCAAGAAATCTATTGAGAAGATTGTCGGAAACCGTAACCAAGACCCAAGGGTTCAAGTTCTTGAGGCAAACGGTAGAGAACAAAGAAGCTAGTGATAACAAGGTGTTTTTAATGTTCAGGGTATGATTACGTATTCCATAACTGTCAAGAGGAGGACAGATCAAAGCAGTGCTTCAAATGCAGAAGCTGCAATCACTGCAAAAAAGATTGCACTAGTACAGCACGGTGTTTCCAGTGCAAGATAGGGGAAACCAAGCATGAAGCCAGCAGTGAAAGCTGCCCAATGTTTAGACAAACATTAGAAAAAGTTAGGAAGTAGCTAAGGGACAAACCTTCGCTAGAATACTCAAGTCTATGAAAGAAAGTTTTAACCCAGACGAATCGGAAGCTATTGTGGAAAGCGTCGTAGCCACTAAAAAAGGAGATTTTCTTTTGAAAGTCAGTGGCTGGCCAAGGAAAGGTGGAACCCGTGCACGAAAAACGACACTGAAAGTCCACGATTTGGACAGTATCATCGAAGAAGCAGAAATACGGCAGTCATAACCACTATAGCTTAGTAGTCAACTTGCGTAGCCACCACTTGCAGCATAGGAACTCAAATATTTTTGCTCTTGGTATAATAGAACTAACATACTTTCAAAACATAACGGTTGTAGATCCAAATTCGCGCCTAGGGGAAATTTTAAGAGATTTTAAGGAGATCACAAATGATAGCCACAATCCATTACGCTGGATCTATGGCATAGAGCATCTCATAATAAC